AAAGGATTATAATAAAATATAAAACCGATGTGTGAAACCCTCAAAAGTTTTAATTTCCATAATTTTTGTAGTAGGTGATTTTACTCAAAAATATAAAAATGATTCTGTTTTGTCTATGTTACGCGTGGGCCAGAGAGACTTGATCTAGCAGCCCATAAATTAATACATATTTCATGGAACTCAATTGGCATTAGAATTTAGATTTTTCATAAAATAAATAATAATCAATATTAATATGTTATTCTTATAGATGTACGGTAATATTACCATTTATGGTACGGGTGGTGGTGGCAGACGCGGGCGAGGTGGCAGACGAGGGCGAGGTGGCGACCGCGGGCGTGGTAGTGACCGCGGGCGGGGAGGACCGCCACCAAAAAAGTTTAGCGGGAGTAAGTATCAAATATAAGTAAATCATACATAAAATATTGTTTGTTAACTATAATTTTTTTTTAGAATGTGACCTGTGCCGAACAAAAGGCCACAAAATCATAGAATGCCCAAAATTTAGTTAGTTTCAACACTACATTTAATATACGTTTTTTAAAATTTAAAATTAATTAATTGTATGATATTTTAGTCTCCATAATGGCGATTGCTGAAGCGGCCACTTCTCGGCCAGATGGCCCGGATGCGGTTAGTGGCGAGTCCGGGACCGGGGCCGGTGGCTGTGGTGAGTCGGTGGTCGGTGGCGGTGGCGAGTCGGCGGTCGGTGGCGGTGACGGTGGCGAGTCGGTGGTCGGTGGCGGTGGCGGGTCGGTGGTCGGCGGCGGGTCGGTGTCCGACGACTGACGAGTCCATGAATGGGACAAATAAAATTATTTATTTTTGTAATATAAACTCTTTAAAAAAAAACATTTTCTATTGTTTTTATTTATTTTCGTACAAAACCCATTTCCTTAGTTATTAGAGCTTACCTAAAACAAAAAATGAGTAAAAATTTTAAATAGAGTATAAGTTTTTAGTTATAAAGAGTTATTATTATTTCGAATAAAATTGAAACATATTTTTTAACATATATTTGTATGGGTCACTAAAGAAATATTCTTACTCTAGGTAATTAGTCATATGCAATCAAATAAAATTTTGTAACACGGAACATGATGCCAGTAGAAGAGGATATAACCTTAATACCTTAACCTAAGAAATTACTAAGCAATTAAAAACATGTAGGTACTCATTGTACTCACTTCGGCGACGTCTGGAATCTGGATCATGACCATAGACTAAAGAATAGTGACTGAATATTAAATAAAGTATGATATATACATATACCTATATGAACTATAAAGTATAAACATAATACATATAGTCNTGGTATGTTACTCGTTTGTAAGACGGAGACAACGCATGCGGGTGTGGCGTCCTCTTAATACCTTAACCTAAGAAATTACTAAGCAATTAAAAACATGTAGGTTAGGTTATTTTCAAATTTTTATCGTGTATAGTGTATATCATGTATATAGAAAATTTAAATATATAAACAACCAGTGAAAATTTCATGCATCTACGGTCATTTGTTACCAAAAACCAAAATTGATTTTGTTAAAAATCGATTTTGCGTAAAAATTCCCGGTTTTCCTTAATTTTTCTTTTGTTTTTCACGTCGCTTTTGAAAACTACTGGGAAATTTATACTTTTGACCCCCCAAAGTACCAACTAGATTCACTTTCCTAACAATAAAGTTACTGTTGAAAAAAATCCAAGCATTTTTACTGTCCTAAAAGGCGATGGCAGACACAAAAAAAAAATAAAAAAAAAAACACACTTTATTATAAAATCAAAACATTCATCTCTTCGCTCAGAATCTAAAATGGAAACTGAAAATGTCCGTAAACAGCTCATAATAAGTCAAAATATTTGGAAAATGTTATGGTGTATAATAGAAAATGCTAATATAAATATTCAGTCAATTTTCGTGTACCTATACGCCCTACGGTCATTTGTTTTAGAGCTGCACCAAAAACAAAAATCGATTTTCCCGTTTTTACTTATTTTAGATTCTAGTGAAACGATGAATGTGTTAATTTTACAATGTGTTTTTTTTTTCGTCTGTGTACACGATAAGTAGTCGAAATAATTCTTCGATTTCCAAATTCAGTATCTTGTTCGATTAGAAAGTGAATATTGTTGGTGCATTGAGGAGGTCAAAATTAAAATTTACAAACTTAACAATTTTATTTTTAAACAGTATACATTTTCTTTCTTTTGTACTTAGAAGTTAATAAAAAAATAATACATGTTTAGGTATACATGTTCTTATTAAATAAGAACAATACATTTTATATTTCATTTACAGTAAAAAATAACTAAATTAATTTTGAGTTCCCAAGTTTAGAGTAAAATATATTAGAAAATTAAAAAAAATATAGTTCGACGCATCCGGTTATAACGCATAGTGTGGCCCTGGCCCGATATTTTATTGCGACGCCACCGCAATTTATTTTGACGCATGCGGCAATAACGCATCGTGTGGCCCGAGCCTTACATCATACCAATCATATTTATTATTTTATATTATTAATGACAAATTTTTCAGTATTATCAATTTTAATATTATAATATTTATTAATCAAGACATTTTTTTATGAAACAATAAATCAAATCCGGAAATAAAATCGGACTTTTTTTCCCTGGACTTTTTTGTTGACTCAATTCCGTCTGGCGACCGTCCCAAATAAAAATGTACCTATAGAAAGGTATAATAGTAATTACGTCCTAGTGGCTAGTTGCGTTCAAACCATAATAGTGGTTACAAACTTATAAATTGAATATTTAAATTAAACAAATAACAATAAAGCTTATTCGAATAATTGAAAAATCACGGCATTTTTATGTAAAAATGGAAATTAAAAATCAATATAATCAACATCAGATTTGAATGTTTATATTAAACCGTACGAATATTTATTTTGTTCTATAAAACGAACATGACGTTCATTAGTTAGTAACACAAGTCACGAACACAATATTGAGTATTTACTATTTTGGTCTATTATTGCCGTTGTGCCCACTGCGCCGGCCAGTCCCGGCCAAAGTGTCAAAATTCAAATAGAATAAAAACAAAAACCTTGACGGCTGATGGGTAATTCCGTCAAATTATACCAACGGTTCAGTTTATCAGTGAATTCACCGCGGCCTCACTCCCTCGCTCCTCAACCCATTCCCATAGATAAAGTGACAAATGACAATACAGAAAGCGACTACCACAGGACGCAGACATCGGTTATGATGCACTCATTACACACTTAGTACTCTTGTCTATGTATGCACTGCTTCAAGTTTCAACACAATAACACAATGTCACATGAATTATGAATAATTAATATTAATACAACATTACACAAGATATTCAGATCACACCTGCAATCATTCCTAACTAATTACTAAATAAATATATTCATTAGGTACTTAATTTATTGTTTTTATCTAATTTATTTTGTTACAGATTGGTTGATGGATAGAATGCTCTAAGAACCATCAATATCAGAGAAGTAATGAATAATAGAATTTTTAAAAAGCTATATTGATGCAATGAAGTTCCTTAATCCTTACTAAATGAAAATAAACACTACCTGGGTAAGTTATCTCAATTAATTAATTATGATAATTGTGTTTAAGTACACAGATATACAGAAGCTAAAGGTAAATAATAATAAGATCGGATATATGTAATAATATAATAATATGTATAATTGATATGAATAACTATAGTGTTCCGAGGCGTAATATAAAACAACAACTATGTATACCCGACTACACTACAAAGGACATATTCTTTGGTGTATGGTATAAATATCTTAAATCAAAAACGACTAGTTTTCAGAAAGATCAAACAAAACATTGAAAAATCATTCAAAATCGTAGACAATAATTTCTGGGCTGATAATTAATTTAATTTAATATTCAATGTACCAACTTTTAAGTTAACTATTAAGAAGAACTTTAAAATCAATTTTTCATTGTTTTTAAGTGACTTAAGATATTTGGATTTTTATTTTATATGACTTACGCTATTAGGGCATTCATTTAAAATTATTACTAAACTTGACTTAAGACATTAGGACCATTTTAAAATTATATCTGTCAGATTCTCAATTCATAACTAGACATACGTGTTTTATACCCAATATAATGTGACTTAAAATGTTTGGACCAAAACAAATTTCACTGATAGTGAGTTATAGTTTTGACTTACGTGATCTGTATCAACAAAATATAAAAATATAAAAATGTTAGATTTTAATAATACTATGAGACAAAATTGTCAATTTTTGACTTAAATCATTTATACCATACGCCAAAGAATTATATTATGCCGTAGTATATTAAAATGTATAGTCAGTGTCTGATGAACTACAGTGTGAATATATTACTTATACACTACATTATATAGGGTGTTTTGTTTATAATTCCAACAAATTGTTTACATTAATCACATTTTAATTTAGATTTGTTTAAATATGAGTTTGTTGTATAAAAAATATGTTTAACAATTAAATGAATAATGTTACTTACAAAGCTGGGCAAAGTTAACTATTTTTTTTTTAACTCGTTAAGTTCAGTTAATACACAAAAATATAAGTTAAGTATAAAGTTAAAAGTTACCTTTATTTTATTTTTTACTTGTAAAAGTTACAAGTTAACTATAATATAAAAGTAACTTAACTTAGTTAAAAATCAATTTCTTTTTTCTCATGTATACATAGGTACATTTTTTAAAGCCAACAAATAACATAGTAATTCAATAAATGTCTTAAAATGTCTAAATAAATGTATGTATTAAAATTAATTACTGAAGGTATTTATCAATGATGGAATCTAAACAAAATAATTAATTTTTTTATGTACCTAATGGTCCACAACTATACATAATATTGCAATAATCAAATTCATTATTAGAATATAATTAATTGTTTACACAGCTCCATAGAAAGCAATATAAAAACAAGATTGTGAAAAATATTTCAATATAATGTTCTATTAACAATTTCTATTTTTGAGTAGAAGGTTTTTAGTATTTTGTATTTTAAAATTAAAATTTCCTAAATACCACCTATATAAATTCAGAAGTACACCTTTTTAATTCTTAAGAAAGATTTTGTTAAGCAATAAATGAAAAAATGATAAACAAAATATTGAAAAATATTATTACAATGTTTCCAGCTGTTTTTTTAAATACATTTTATCACCCGTTTAATACACTGGTGTTGATGAATATAACAATAACCATAGTATTAAAAAAACTAAAAAATTACACTATTTTCAAATAAAATATAAAGACTGGCCATAGCAGGGGTAGTGGCTATAGGTGGCGACTTCACCATACAAAAATAATATTATATTTTAGTATAAGTTCTTAGAACTTCTGATACAAAAAAATAATTAATATTGAAAAATATTGGAAATTTTAGAATTTTTTTTTTTTATAGAACTCAACAAAATCAACATAATGTCAATAGACAATAATAGTTTTGTTCTTACATTAAAACAAAATAAATATTCAAATTTTTAACTAGATAATAACCCTTAATGGGTTATACATTGATACATGTATTAATCTTTGAGATGTTGACTTTACGGGTTTTTTTTAAGCCTTTTTCAGTTTAATAAACAAATTAATATAGGCATACCAAAATAATAATGTAAAATGATCTCCTTATGGGCAACAACAACTTTCACAAGTTGTTATCCTAAAATGACGTTATACTTCACGTGTTGTCTCATCAAACAAACTAGTTATTAATATGTTAGTATTCCCTAATAAGTTAATTAATGCATAATTTGTGACTTTTAGTGTCATAAAATAATATACATTTTAAAAGGTATTCTTCATCAGTATTATATTTAATACAAAGTTACTTCATGTGAATACTTTTTTAATACATTATAAAGTTACATTAATTTTTGTAAAGTATTAATTTTAAAATTATTTTCAGCTTATGTAATTTGAGATCGGATAATAAAATTACAAGCTTTATGGAAGGATCACAGTCAAATAGTCTATTAGTCAAATAGTCAACGGAATATTTGCAGAACTTGTGAATTGTTGTTCCTTTTTTCTGTGGTCAAATATACATCAAGTCACAATGTCACATTATACATCACATTATATCCTTTTTATAATAACAAAATTATACATTATCATAATATACTATTGTTACAAAAGCTATGAATTAACTAATGTTAATTATGTCTATAAACACAGCTGGTAGAACATGCAATATATCTTAGTTATAAATTAGTATTCTATAGTTATTTTACTGTAAAATCTCAATAAGTAATGGAAAACAATTACTTTATATCAATTGTATGTTCATTAACTTTATGTTTTAAGTATAATCAAAGAACTAAATTAAATTTTAATAATATTTTAATAAAAATTATGCCTAGACTTTAAGTTGAACGGGCATATTTATGAACAGAACCGTACCAGGGTTTATCAACTCCTTGCCATTTAACATATTACATTTTGCCCTTATACTTTTTTTTTTAACCCACAACTACAACCACACACATACAACATTTCTGTTTTGTATTTATTAATTTTAGCCTGGAGGCGCTCAATTTCTTCTAATAATTAGAATGATCAGTCTTTTTGTGATATTTGGATATTAGGTGTAAATATACATAGTTATTTCTAATTAATTATAATAATATTATAATAATACTAGAACAAGATGATGTGACCCATCAGTGTGGATTACACACATGTTTTTAAACATGTATGCATACGTCGTTAGGAGCAGTTCCTCTATGTTTTGTATAGCAGACTTGTTTTTACTTTTATCATACACACTTGGAAAAAACTGTAAAAAGTCATACACAGTCAATGTGTTATGTTAATTTTTTTTAGTATTCATCATACTTGGCCTTAAGCAATCGTGATTCTGATTGAGTCTTATCAAAATGTTGTTTATGTACTTTTGACTGTTCAAAATGTTCAAATTTTTTGTTTTGAGATTATTCAGTAGCACTTTGTAAATAATTCATTATATGAAGGACTAGGATAAACTTGAGTTCCATCTAAAAGTTACAATTTTTAGGAACATATTTTCCATTATACACATAGCTTCTGCTGTGTCATCTACCAGCATTATTGTTTTAAGACAATATTGTCATCATTCAGACAATTAGCTATTACAGGCCTAGTGAAGTTTAACATACGAAACAAATTATTTGAAGTTTTTAAAATGTCAATTTGTCATTGTTTACTTTAATGTATGCCCTAATAGGACCTATTGGTTTTTTATGCCTTAAATTGTTTTGATTAATAGCGACTTCAATAGCTTTCACTATTTGTGGCATACAGTTCCCATAAAAATAGGCCCTTCTTCTTGTCGAGGAAAACTGTTAATATTTCTATTAAGTTGAACCTTAAATTTAATTAAAATTAATTTTTTTTTATACAGCGCTAGCATACTTGATTTTTTTTCAACCCAAAATTAAATTATTGACCATAGGGTTTATACTTTATTTAGTGTTTCCATATAAGTTAATTTGGAAAAATATAAAAATTTTAATGGTAAATATATTTATCAACATGAAAACAAAATGGACTGAAATTGTAAAATGTAATAAAATTAAAAACAAAATAAATTAACTTAACTTAACTTCCTTTTAAAACGAAAAATGAATTCATTAATTTCATGTTAATTTAAAAATAAATTTGGTTAGTTAATAGTTAAGTCCAAATGTAACTAGTTAAAGCCTGGGCCAGTCTCCCCAGCACTTGCTACGGCTTTGTTTATGAATACACACAAATTGTATGCATAATATAATTGTATACATAGTAAATACTTATTTCTACTTATTTGAGATTAAATGAGAAAGTAACTGCTACACGTTATATAATATAACAATTAACATTTTCTTTTTTTTTTTTACAGTTTCTAGTGTTTTAAAGCCGTGCAGTGACCAGTGTTTACCTAAGCCACACCGTTACCAGTGTTTACAAAAGCCGAACAGTTAGCAGTGT